CCTGGGGCGTTAATCGCAATATCCCGTCAGGAGTGTAGCTAAAGGCTGTCTTTGTCGATGTGCACTGTGTTAATAAAGGTTATTTAAATCCAATATGGCGGCGCCTACAGTGCAATCGTGAGCCAGGAAAACAGGTCGTTTACAACGGTTTTTAAGGCTGGTTGGGATGTTTTCTTTAACACGGACTGGTGTATTCTGTTATTGCGAGCACAGCGCGGAAATAAAGGAGTAGGAAATAAAACGGTGAGTAGCTTCACAGAAGACACTTTCCCTCATCCTTCAGCGTGTGTGCAGCTGACAGACTCCACGAACATGCACACAGCAGGTGTAAAAAGGTGTTTCCATTGTGTTTCATTCGCATTAAAGAGAGGAGTATTCGCTTATCTATGCGGATAAAGCAGCAGGTCAGGTTTATCACGAGAAATAACAACAAGCAATACCGCTGTAGCATAAAGACGGAAAAGAAACCATGTCTAAACCCCTATAACGTGCATGTAACAAAGTCACGCGATAGTTGGCGTGACGCATGCTGTATCAATGTAACAGGATGTGGACTATTTGTGGGTTTAGAATCCAAAATGTTTTTGCTCTTACTTGATTTGCTTGCTTGGTGCTTCTTACAAATATGCAGGCAAATCGTGTATAACTCTCATGTCAGAAGCCATATAGCTTATTACACCTCATTGTTAACAGTGTAAGACAAGCTGAACTGAATTTAACGTCTGCATTTATATGATCGTTTTATCCATTGAGGCCAAAAGTTGTTAGGAGTTGTAAATTTGGGAGCATGTGGTCAGAAAGACAAGCTGTGGTAACACAGTTTTGATGGTGTTTTGAGAATATTCTTATAAATGTATCCAATACATTTGATTACTGGCAACATTATCGTTTCTTGAGCAAATGTAAGTAAGTGCACCTTTACTCATTGTCTTAATATATGTGAGCTCTGGCACCAGAAACAGATGCATTTGACTTCTGACATATTGAAACACCTGTCCTATCTGAGCATTTATAAAAGATTCTCATAATGACTGACTGAACAGCTCTCCCCCAGATCCTAGTTTTCTGCTTTAAAAATATATTTTTAAATTGTCACAGTTACTGTTCATTTGAAGAATTAATCAGCCACCCCCACCCCTTGCTGAGTACTGGAGTCCAGCACACAGACTTGGACATCAGCTTGAGATGAAGCAGTGTTTTACTCTTTGTAGGAGACACCCGAATGGATGAGGCCAGTCACCATAGAAACATTATCTCAGTCTTTCGCCTCAGCCCACTCACTCGCACCGTCAGAGACGCGCACGGCGTTGAGTGCTCGTCTCTCCCAGCTTCAGCCTGAGGGGAGGAGTGTTGGCTGCTGTGATGCTTAGCTTATACTCGAGAGAATGTATTGAAGACAAAGAAAGTCCCACAAACAGGTGGGTGGAGGAGAACCAGTGACAGCTGACAAAGCTCAGCTTTCTCCAAGTGATTTGTCCGCCCTGGTCAGTTGTCTCCTTAAAATCTAGGATGTAATTTTTTTTTAAAAAGCAGTGGTTTTTATTGCTAAAATCACGTCATCTGAAACTTTCTCTCTCATGCTGATTTGTTTAACTGTCAAGTTTTCATAACATCAGCAATCCTACAATACAGAGTAACCTTTTCCTCTGAGCCCTCCTCAGCTTTAGTCATAATTTGTATTTTCCCGACTGACTTGATGTCAGTCTGATGTCGGGGCGTGCTGATCATCTCAGCCTCCGCTTTGATGCTTTAAAGGTCTCTCCTTCTGAGATCCAGATGCGTCACTGCTGTGGAAATATTCTTCTGACAGGTCAGGTTAGCAGCAGTAGTCCTCCGCAGCCAAGACTGTGCTGACTGTACGAGCCTCTCAGGTTACCTTGGAAACTGTCTGTATATACACGTCTGTGTCTGGGTGAAATCAAATCAAGGTTAAATGGGTTTTCGTACATACTGCTGACTGTCTGACCGACATTAAGCCAGCAGAAAGTTTAGCCTAACTGCTCTCTGATCATTAAGGAGGAAGGGAAACCTTTCTGAAACAGCCTGCAATCAATCTGTTTTTCTTCTTTCAAGTTGTAAGCAGTGGGAGTGGTAAACTTTTGAAATTTATTTTATAGAGTAATCCTGTTCTGGACATTTTCTTTAATGTAGTATTTTGTCCTTTTGACCTACCAGTAATTACACAAATTGAGTGAAGCTGCCACTTCCATGCAGGTGATGTCCAGAGGCAGCTGGGTGCACTTAACCTCCTATAATGAAGTGGAAATAATCTAAAAGTACAGGGCTGATTTAAAGCCGAGAAATCGGTGTGTCATTTCATGTCATCTGACTGCAAATGACATTCTTTCATCCGAGCAGGCAGGTGGTTTGATAAGAACAACCTGTCCTTAGATTCAGAGAGAGGCTGTAATCACATCGCGCTGAATAAACCAGTCGTGCTGTTGTGTGAGTGACGTTGAGCGATGGACACAGGCTGTGAAGCAGCAGTGGTAAAAAGAAATTAAAAAAAAAAAATCTGAGCTGCCATAAATTAATCGCAGTGGATGAAACTGTCACTCCGTCTGTTCGCAACAAGTGGACTTTAATGTAATGTTGCTCATTCCTGTAGATTCAAGTCATCTGAAGTCATATGCACTGATGTGGGAAACCCTTTTCATACCTGCTGCAGAACTATCAGAACAATCTCCAGACTGAAAACCTTTTTTTTTTTTAAACCCCTCAGCTATAAAAGGCTGATGGGGTATTGTTGTCACCCTGCAGGCGACATGGACACCCACATTTGTGAATAAGATAACTCGAGAACGAAGCAATACAGGCACTTCAAATTAGTAACATAGTTGTATCTAAATGCTGAAAATTTCAGACCAGTTTGAATCTCAGTGACCTTGACCTTAAGGTTAAAGTTGAGACAAATGACCAAAGTTTTAATGTTTTTTTAAAAAAAAATACTACGAATGCGATAACAGGAGAACAAGGCAAAGTGGGATTTTGATATTCATACCGTAGATGTGTCTACTAAAAAGCTGAGGGTACTCCGTCAGTATTTTTAAATCCTTCTAATCTGGAAGAGTTACACATGCATTTGTTACATCTAAACTGGGCTATTGTAATGCACTTACAGTCCCTCTGGGAAATATTCACAGCGCTTCACTTGCTTCATATTTTTTCAGTCATTTTACAGTCGTAAATTCATTTTTTACCTTAAATTCCACACAAAAACAATACCCCACAGTGAGAAGGTGAAGAAAAGGTTCTTGCAAATTTGGGCTCCTTAGTAACTCCTGATCATCAAAGCTTATTTCAAAAGAGCCTCGTGTCTTTGCTGCTGCTGCACCAAAACTCTGCAGTGGCCTCACAAATGACCCTAACTGTGACTGTTTTTAAATCTGAGTTGAAGACGCACCTTTTCTGTCAAGAATTTGGAACTGTGACCGGAAGATTTGGTTATTTCACGTAAACATTGTGACTGCGTGTAATGTCAGCGTTTAAGGAACCTGTAAAGCACTTTGGGTTTAAATGTGCTATAAAATAAAATGTACTTAGTTACTTATTGAATATTACACCATGGAGGGCATATGTGCCCTGTAGCCTTTTAGAATAATAATGTCAGACTCTAGTGGGTTTGAAGAGCCTTCTAAAAAATACGTTTAGCTTATTCCACTCCACAAATTTTAGAAGAAATAAAAACAGCTGCACACCTGACTATTTACTTTCATCTTCTTCTTCTTTTGGTCGCTCCCTGGATCATCTGGACACTAGTAACGTCCTTTAGAGTGCGCAGTGTATTCTTTGCAAAATCCCGAAGCATCTCAGGTGAAGTGTTTGAGGGTATCAATGCGTGTGCTACTGAGCGCGTGCTCACAGTGCAGGGATAATATTTTTATTTTTGACACACCAATGCAGTCATCACTCAGTACTGGCCCTGCTTCCTGTGTTTCTCTCTTCTTCGTCAACATAAAATCCAAGTTGAAAACTCACCATTTGGTCACATCGATGGAGATCCAGCACATTTTGGCCGGTCAGAGTGAAACTTCCAGGAAGCGATCCAAACGTAGCAAAGGGCCGAAGGGGCACGAAGAGGCAGCTTTGAAAGGGAGAGCAGCAAAATCTATATCAGATAAAGTATTTGATTCATGTGGGTGGAGTCACGAGCCTTTTATTGTCATTTCTATGTAAAGATGGAAACTGCTGTTTCCATTTTCTGTCAGTTAGATATTTTAATGTGTGTGCGTTCATGTTGTGTGTTTTATAAGCTATTTAATATATTGACCAAAGGTTAGGGGAAAGCTCGGTTAAAGCTGACCTCCTCTACTGAAAAATAGAAACTTTAGTATTTCACTAGCATGTCAACATTTCCACCACTGGCTGTTTTCCTGTTTTATCAGACGCAATCATGCGGGTGTCCGTGAGAAGGCTGGCGCTGTATCCCCTGTTTGCAGCCCAAAGGAGCGGAGCCCTCCAGAGTCCATTTCTGCACCAAATTTCACCCAGGAGTCGCACCCTGTTCAGTGAGACGGGCGTGTGGGAGAAGGACTATCGAACGGAGACCAGACGCAAAGTGGAGGAATGGTGGCACCCACGAATTATGGCGCAGTGGCGGAAGGATGCAGTGGGGGAGGTAAGAGGGTCTTTCAAAGTATCAAATAATAAACTGAAGATTAAATGAATGATTGTTTTGCTTTTGGTAACCAGCAGTTACAAAAAAACCCCAAAACTCAGTTTATATATGACACAGCAAGTTCTCCAGCTTCCTCTCACAGTTCAGAGGTATGCATGTTGATCTAATTGGTGATTTTTAAATTGGCCCTGAGATAGACTGGCAGTCTGTCTCTTGCTCAGTGTCAACTGGGATAGGCTCCTGCCCCACCACAATCCTGGTTAGACAGTCTGGAACATGCATGGATGGAAATGCACTAAATCCTATAATAATCCTAATTATTATATAATCCTAATATAATAATCCAATAAATCCTTATTTAGATAAGAAGCTGGAACGAGCAGATGGTTGGCATTTCATTTGCCCCACATGCTGCTGCTGTAAAAATGTGTTGAGGTAAACTGCTAGTAGAAATGAATGTCTGATGTGTCGAGTGAGAAACCTTCGAATACATGATTATATATTCAAGGATACACATAATCAGGTTTCTAATGTTCCTTCTAAAACATTAGTCATCCTCAGTAAATACTTGACATAACAAAAATACTTCTTTCAGATGTTCTATGGCCTAAATAGAGGTCATTACTGTTGAATGAGTTGGAAATCATAATTGTACTCCACAAATCAAGGTTGCACCAACCAGTAGACGTCTTTTGAAGAATCTAAACATCATAAGCACAAACAAGTGTTTTGTTTGTCCTTGCAAGAAAAACACAGATGTGTGTATTTAAAAAACTGCTGATTTTATTTGAGTTTCACAAAACCTCTGCTGTGTCTACCTTGGGCCAAGTGCGTACTATAAATGAGGACAGTGGTAATTAGCTCCCCTCTTTAACCGAGCAAAACATTTTTAACCCACGAGTGAGTTCAAGAAATTCAAATAGATCCACACAATACAGAACAAGCCTGGTAGAGGTAGGAGCTGAAAGATTTCAAAGACTTTGGAAAGGAAACCAGTGAGAGATGTGTCTGAAGACCCCAGAACGACTGCAGAGACACAAGTGGATGACTTAGCCAAGGCAGGAATGATATTCTCAAAGAAGAAAATCATCAAAAACCTGCACAGGAAGGGATTGTGAGGTTGCAGACCACAAAAAACTCCACTTCTGCAGAAGAGACACCTTCAGTCCAGATTGAAATATGCTAAAGAAAACCTGAGGAAAGATTATAAATATTGCAAGTGCGTCCTGTGGCCATATGAGACAAAACTAGAGCTCTGTATCAGAGACACCACTAATGTTTGGAGAAAGAAGAGGGAGGTAAACAACTAAAGAACTCCCCAGTGAAAAGTGGTGGTGGGAGTATTGTTTTGTGGGAATGCTCCAGTGTGTCTGGGAGTTTGAATCTCAATGAAAGAATCATGAAGAATTTGAAATAAAACCTCAAGCAGTCAGCACAAAACTGTGTCTGCGTCATCGCTGTGTTCCAGATAACAGCAACCCAAACATACATCGCTCCTGGAAGAACAGCCTTCAGAATGCCAAAGTGAGCATTACTGACTGGCATGGACACATCCTGCAAAACTGAAACTCTGTGGGGTGAACTGAAGCCCAGGGTCCCTGCCAGATGACTGTTGGATCTGGAGAAAAATGGGCTGTGATTGGAAAATGAGTGTGAGAAACAAACAACTGTTATCCAGCTAAAACTGACTCCAGTGTCTGATTATTAGCATCAATGGGGCTAATAATTTTGACCCTGGTAGTATTAGCTTTTGTGACATAATTTTTTTTTTTCTGTGTGCAAAGTAAAATACGCATCCAAAGTAAAACTCTGACGTTTGGAAAAGCTCTGTTAAAAATTCCTTGTTTTGTTTAACAGCAATTGGGAAATACTTATTAGCACCTGGGCTAATAATCCTGTCCTCTGATCCTGTATTGAAACAGATCCGCATGTATACATTTGAGGCACAGTTAGATGAATAGGTGCATGCTTCTAAATTATGCCCTCATCTATTATTGCCACTGACCCTCGCAGCTCATCTCAGGCTCGGAGCTCTGGATGATTATATATCCTAATGGCCTGACAGTGTGGCAGTCTGGGACTGGCTCACAGTGATTAAGTGCATTTACCACAGAACTCTGGACCTAATTAATTTACTGAAAAATTCATGACTCACGTTTCCTGTAATCACGTCTTTCTGGGTGTAACTGGTACTTACTGCGTTGCTGTGGCAACAGCATTGAGACTGTAAATCACCGGCAGTCTGCACTGACACCATTTAAATTCGGACACTATAATCAGCCTCTGTTAGAGCCTTATACAGTAATATACCCCGAGTCCTCACGATCGCTATGTGATGAGCAGCTATTCCTGTTCTCATCAGTTTAATGGAGTCTCTGTTGTGTGGGATTCATTCAGAGGCCAGACTGATAATGGAGAGGCTCTTCTGCTGTGTGCTTTCAGGATTAAAAGTCAGTTTTATGGTCATTTGTCTCATGATTCTTATAACAGCCTCTTCTTCTTTTTTTTTTCCTCCAGAGTCCCCACAAGAAGAAGTTTTATGTCCTCTCTATGTTTCCTTACCCATCAGGGCGACTGCATATGGGCCATGTGCGAGTGTATACCATCAGTGACACCATTGGTCATTTCCAAAAAATGAGAGGGCATCAGGTATGTCAGCTTTTATTTTATTCTTTTCTTTTGTTTTGTTTCTCCCTTCTACCATCCCTATTGAAGCCGAATATGCTCTGCTCTCACAGCAGCAGTTGTTTAGCGGTGCCCTATTTCAGAGTCCTGAGAGCTGTTTAGCTTTAAGTTTGCTGACTCTGGAAGTAAATTACAGGGTTTTATGGCCAACACAGAAATTCCATAAGTGATATTACAGGACACACTGCTGTTTGATGTAAATGGACTGGTACTTATAAAGTGCTTTTCTGCTCAGTTTAAACTCTCAAACTGCTTTCTTACAAAACTCTATTTCGTTGTTGTTTAAATGCCTCTTCGCAATAAATCTAAAGGCTGTTTATTTCTAATGAATGCATTTGTGTGTTGCGCTCATGAAAAACCTTCCAGATCTTCTCTGCCAATGACAAACAGCTTATTCTGCTATTGACTGTTGATTGATGGTGTTTATTGGATTGGATGATGATGTGGAGGAACGTTATCTTTGGTGAAAAGCGCTATTTCTGTGAGGTCTGTCTAACATTCACACTCCAGTAGATGCATCTGAGAGCAGTTTGGTTGG